CATTCATGGGGGAAGGCTGTTAGTAGATGGGGTTCTCATAGCTAACGAAGTGATAGATTCGAGAAGTGGGCTTGTGGGATTGTTGTGTAAGGTGGATATGGAGAAGGCTTATGATCACATAAATTGGAATTTCTTGGATAAAAGTGTGTTTATCTTCTTCTTCTTCTTTCTCAGTTCTTGTGAATGGGAGTTCATGTGGGATGTTTAGAAGAACTAGGGGCTTAGGACAAGGGGATCCACTTTCTCTCCTCTTGTTTATTTGCGTGACTGAAGTCCTATATAGGATGGTAGAGAGAGCACGGATGGGAGGACTTTTAGGAGGATTTGATGTAGGTAGTGGAGAAGATAACACTACTGCTAGTTGCAGATGACACCCTTTTCTTCTGTGATGCATCCTGGGAACAAATTTGGAATGTGAAGGCAGTCTTAAGATGGTTCAAGGTGGTAACAGGTTTGCATATTAACATCCTGAAGAGTGAAAATAATGGCTGTTGGGGAGGTGACAAATTTGGAAGACTGGGCAGAAGATTGGGGATGTAAAGTTGGTAAACTCCCATCTAAAATATTTGGGCATGCCTTTGGAGGAAACTGTAAATCCAAATCCATTTGGGAGCCTTTCTTGGAGAAGGTGAACAGAAAATTAGCATCGTGGAAGACCAAATACTTGTCCAAAGGGGGCAAAGTCACTTTAATTAAAAGTGTGCTGTACTCCCTCCCTGTGTTCCACCTATCTCTATTCCCAATCCCAGCTAAGTGGTCTGCAGGGTTGGAAAAAAAAAAGATAAGGGACTTTTTGTGGAGGGGACGGAAGGAGGAATCAAAATGTCACTTGGTAAACTGAAAGAAAATGTGCTGCTCTAAAGCTAATGGGGGTCTAGGAATCAGATCAGTGAAAGATGTAAACACTGCATTGCTTGGAAAATGGTTGAGATTTAATGAGCAGTTAGATAGCCTGTGAATTGTAGCCAAGTATGGGTCTAGTAGCAGGGTGTGGGAAACAGAAGAGGTTAGATCATCCTATGGATGCTCAAATTGATAGGCAATTCAGAAAATACAACCTCAGTTTTGAAGGGCATAAAATATAAAGTGAGAAATGGTCAGACTCCGGAGGGTTTCTCTTTTGGAAGGATCACTGGTGTGAAGGTCTTTTGATGTCCATATTTCCTTATCTGTTTGAGATAGCTACAAATAAGATTGCAACTATAGCTGAATATTTGGAAAGACAGAGAGGATATTGCTTGTGGAACCCCCAATTCAGGAGGTACTTAAACGATTGGGAGGTGACTTCTCTAATCAGCTTGCTCCAGATTTTATACGACTCAGAGACGACTGGTGTAGGGGAAGATAAAATAAATTGGATATTTGAGAAATCGGGTTGTTTTTCTGTAATTATTTTTTGGAAAAGGTGAGGTTATTTTATTAGAAATCTTAAAGATACAAACGGAAACCTGCCAAGGACAGGGCAGGACTGGGGTCACCCCCCATTACAAGCACCAAGTCGACTGAGAACTCAACAATTGAAAAACATTTAAATGTTTGAATTCTGAAGTGACAGAAATCCAGGACATCAATTTGCTGACTACCGCCTGCCCTATCTCCTCTGGACTTTTCACTTTTTGATTGAAGATTCTGTTGTTTCTCTCAGACCAAATGGCCGAGAGAACTGCAGCAGGGATAGTACTCCAGATTAGCCTCCCCTTTTTCTTCAGATTGCTGATCTTTCAGCTGCAGAGCAAATCCTTTATAGATTTTGGCATGACCCAACAAATCCCCACAGCCTGTAAGAAAAGGTCCCACACCTGGGCAGCAATAGGACAGTGAATGCAAAGGTGATCAGTAGTTTCTGAGTGTGATTCACAAAGAGCACAAGAGTCATCAGAAATCTGCAAGCCTCTTCTTTCTAGGTTGGTTCTGGTCAGGGCCGACAGGCATTTATTTAAAGCCATAATCCAGACAAGGAAGTTCGCTTTTGAGGGACAGATTGAGTTCCAAATCTGCTTAGATGGAAAAGCCCCCAATGCAGCTCTGCTACTGAGTTTACTGGTCATTGATTTTACTGAGAAGCTACCCTGTTTAGACCAATTCCATGTCCACTGATCCTGATTGCAGTCAATACTCTGAGCTTGTAAAGTTTCCAACAATCTCATAACTTCTTCCAATTCCCAATCAAAAAGACTTCTTCTGAACTGTGGAGCCCAGGTCACCTCATTTCCCGAGAAGGTGTAAGAGCCAGCAATCGAAGCATTCTGATTGATGGCACATTGATAAAGAAGAGGAAAACCTTCAGCCAAAGGGTAATCCAAGCACCAAGAATCCTTCCAGAATCTGATTCTGTCTCCTCTGCCTACTTTGAAGCTTAAACCCTCTCTAAACATGGGAAAGCATTTCATTATGCATTTCCATAAAGAACGGCCCCAATTAGGAAGTGGATCTCTAGATCTCCAGTTTCCCCACTCTACCCCAAACTTGGCGGCTATCAGGTTTCTCCACCAAGCTCCCCTTTCTGTGGCATATCTCCATATCCATTTACTAAGAAGAGCCAAATTAGTCACCTTAATTTTCCTTAAACCCAGTCCCCCTTCTTCCATGGGAAGACAGATTTGCTCCCAGTTGACAAGATGGATCTTCTTTTCTTCCTCCCAACCCCTCCACAAGAAATTCCTTTGAAGAGTCTCCAATCTCTTTGCCACTTTTGCTGGGACAGGGAAAAGAGAAAGGAAATAAGTAGGAAGATTTGAAAGGGTACTTTTTAAAAGGGTTCTCTTCCTCCAAAAGGCAGATATTTTGCCTTCCAAGAGGAAAGCTTTTTCTCCAATCTTTCAATTACTGGATCCCATATAGCTGAAGAAGAACATTTTGCTCTCAAGGGCAACCCCAAGTATTTCACAGGAAGATGCTCCACCCGACAAGCATCAATGGAGGATACCACTTCTTTTCCAAGTGATATATGGATCAAAGTTGTACCATCTAAACTGGCCTTCTTTGTATGGTGAGCAGTGCTGGACAAGATCCTAACCAAAGAGAATCTAGTCAGAAGAGGCTTAGAGGTGGCAGATTTGGCTTGTCCTTTATGCAATGGAAATGTGGAGTCATCTAGCCATTTGCTTATTCACTGTGAGTTTACAAACTGGATTTGGTTAAGACTGTTAGGTCTGTTTGGTGTCAAGCTGTATTTCCCAGCTGATGTGAAGGAATTCATAGAGGCATRGTGTCTAGAAGGATTAAGTAGGGCCGGAAAGGTAGCATGGAGCATACTCCCCTTAGCAGTTTTCTGGGCTGTGTGGTGTGAAAGAAACAGGAGAACATTTGAAAGGAATCAGACCTCAAAGGAAGTAATCTTAAGTAAAATACTGGAGATGGCTCATTCATGGTCGGCAGTTCACCCTTTATTTAGAAATAGACATTCTAGTTCTTTTTTTTTATTTTGATTTCCTTTTTGTAAGGAATGGTTAGTTTTAGGGCTGTTCATAAGAAGACCCAACCTGACCAAACCGACCAAACCGACCAACCTGGATCAACCCAACCCGAGTCGGCCGGGTTTTCTTCAGCACCGGTCGGTTTCGAGTTGTAAAAAATCATAAACCGACCCGAACCGAACCGACTTAGTAGTTAGTTCCTAGTTGCAACCCAAACTTGCACCACACAGGCATATGGGGGGTGCTCCTGCTTCACAAAGTTATTGGCCTGTTTTCTCTTAATTTATGTGCTTTCCTTGCTGGATGATGTTGCTTGCTACTTCTTTGACGCCCAATCTACCAATTTATTACCATGGTTGAACTTAGAGCCGAAACCGACCCAAACTGACCCAACCCGACTCAAACCRACCAGGTCGGTTTTGATTAACACAGGGTCGGTTTCGGTTTCAATTTCAGGTAACCCGACCAGGTCGGGTCGGTTGGAAAAATCTCAGTAAACCGACCCAACCCGACCCGTGAACAGCCCTAGTTAGTTTTGTTCTGGAATTATATATCCTCTGTTCAGTCCCTCATTGTATTTTGTCATTTTGTTTTTAATGAAATACTTTACCTTACAGTTTCAAAAAATAAATAAATATGGTTTGCCAAACTATCATTATTTTATTAGTTTTCAAATTTATTGTTAATAAAAGAAACACATCAATTGAATATTCTATGTTCATAATGGTGAATCTAACAGTGCCAAAAGAAATAGAGAATCTAATCATTGAGCCTAAGCTGAGATCCTATTTATTATGTTGGTATTAGAAAACTACATTGAAATATCAAAAAAGAAAGCAGAAGAATAAGTGGACATGACCATGAGATCCAAGTAGTCAACCATAATACTGTAACGAAAAAGGGAAAAAAAAAAACAAGACCCATAAATTATTATCCCAGGAGGGCTAAATGGCATCACATTCTGACCTGAATCAAGGACAAAATTTTTGCTCTGGATTCCCCATAACCCAGGGCTATGGAGCCAAAGTAGACCATCAATATCCATGTTATAAGATTTGAATCTTCAACCATGATCCGGAATTCTGGATTCCCTAATAGAACATCTATCAAAGTTAAACATTGTGATGCAGATCCAGCCCAGAACCCCAAGCCCAGTTCAACTGGGCAACCTTACCTTCTCCTGGGGCCTAGCTCTTCTATTCAGGGCCACTCCCATCACTTAAGGCGAATGGACTTCTCACTTAGCCCAGAGTTAATGCTGCAAGTCGAAATTAGAAGATGCCAACAAAAGGATTATTCTAGAAGATGCTCAAGGATATATTGCATTTTTCTCTCTCCCTCTATCTCTCTCCCCGGACCCTCCTCCTCAGGAATCACATTGAATGAAACTATGTACCAGATCTAAGTTTATTGTGCATCATAGTCTTTCCATGAAATAATTTATTTTTCTATGCCAAAATCTAGTTACAGTTCTAGTTCTCACTTTGGATGACTATATTTGTATACAAGGTTTTAGCAACTCCAACAAACAAATGGTGAAAATTGAAAAACATATACCCAATGGTAGGGATATTATTAATTGACCTTCCATTTCTTAAGACCTGGCCTGTGAACCAATTGAGGGAGCTCAGAAGAGACATCAAGAAGTTCAACAGATCCCCCACACCTCCGCAAAACCTGGATAAATGAGAAAAATGTCAAATGAATGTTGGAAATAGCATTTAAGTGAGTAAAAAGAAACTCCAGTAGCTGTCAACAATAAAAATGTGTATCATAGAGGTAGAAATATGACTGGAAGTGGATCACCAAATGTCCAAGAAAAAGGTTTGATGCTAGTTTCTAGCGGCTGAAAAATTCCATTCTTACATCTCTAACATACCTCAGCAACCACAGCCTCATTCTCGACTGGATTCATCGAGCAGGTTGAGTAAACCATTCTACCACCAACTTTAAGCAATGCTAAACCTGCAATATAGATAACCCTTAAATATTCAGAGTTAGATCATCCAGGGGAGAATTAGTTAGAGTCTGACTATAAATTAGGTTTTCCCTTTTATGAATAACATGACTTGTAAAGAGATGGGAAACAAAGCTGCTTTTAAACCAGTAAGGCAGAAAGCATTAAAGTGCACACCAAAAGGATGGAAAAACCAATGTAGTTAAGGCAGCCAGGACATACTGGAATGGCACGGCGAGTAGATTTCTAGGCAAATTATATATCTTGTAATACATAATTAAACAYGAGTATTATGCAATTACAGTTTACACATAATCTAGATGCCTGAAAGTACAATGCACATTCCTCAGACCACGAGATGYCTTTTGTGTCTATATAATTATATGCATTTGTATGCATGCTTGTATATAGCATATTTAAAGCTATTTTAAGGAAATATCTAATATTTAGAACCTCTTAATAGTTACTAAAATTCCTAGCATACTGAACTCATTTGGTTATGTGATCATTTGTTCCTTTGTACATAAAAAAAATATGCTCCTACTATGCATTTTTTTATACTTCTCATTTTTAGTCTAATTGTTTCTTAAAAAATCAATAAGATGAGCTTAAGCCTCACCACTTCAGGCTTACGCTACATGCCTCTAAAGGTCCTGGCAGCTCACCACATGTGTCTTCCAAAACATTGATCACTACTTATCTGCCCCAACTTCCAAGTAAAGTGTTTATATCCATACACCAACCTATTTGGTCATGTAAGCAGCAAGCCAGTAAGAATCCAAAATTCCTAGTCAGTCACCTGGTCAATGCCATGGCTTTGCATTTTAAATTTTTTAAATACACTGACAAAAACCAATAGATGAAAGAGAGGGTAACTTAAGAGTCTGAAAAACCAAATTACACTAGTAAAGCATAACCCAATATGATACAGATACCTAAATCCTAGGAAGGATTCAAGAGGTTTTTTTTTGAAAAAAAAAAGGTAAAGTAAATTTTATTCAAGATGATTAGTGACATACCATTCCTTATGGTTCAATTTTTAGTGTAAATTCTGTATCCAATGCCATGTCCTTGCTGTATCCAGGTAACGTAGCATGCAGCTAGCAGCTGATGGACATACCTCCTTGAGTGTATAAAAAAATATAATATTAAAAAATGTTATAGCATCTGAAACGCTTGCAATAGAGGGTGTAGGGAAGTGTGTCTTAGATTAGGAGGCCCCAAGCCCCAGGATGCATAACTAAGATCTCTTCACCATTTCTTTAATCATGGTGTGTCAGCCATATTGTTCGTACTTGTCTCCTTAAGTTGAATCTTTTTGAGTGTGGTTTTTTTTTTTGAGGAAAAGTTAACACTCCTCAAAACCAAAATGACCCCCCAATCATTTACATAGACAAAGATGAACCACTATACAAGGAATCTCTGCCCATCCTAGATTTTGCTAGAGCATCTGCCACACTATTAAACACTCTAGGAATCCACCTAGAATGACAATCCACATGTGAAGTAATTTCCTTGATCTAATTGAATAGGCAGTTGAATCTCCAAGGGCCATCCTTCAAATTATTCATTCAGCTGATGTCAATTCTAGAGTCATGTTCCAACACCACTAAAGAGAGATTAAGAGCCAAATCTATGGTGGGCATGGATTTACATCTTTTTCCATTAATAGAGATGCATCAAAAGGAAAATGTAAAAACAGCTTATTTCAATCAGAGATGCATCAAGAGAACTACCAATTTCATGCAAATTTAATGCATTAATATGGAAGACTGAGGGAAGTGTCTTCACAAACAGCATTTAATATATGAAAATTTCCTTTTTATGAATAACATAAAAGTCTACTCATAAATAATAAAAAGAGGTATAAAGAAATTTTCAGGTCCAAAAAACACAAATAATCAGACGAAACAAGTAAAAAGGAGCTCCTGGTAGGGGATCTCAACAACCACCACCTAGGCACAGCAATAGTAAGAACAGAAACCCAGTACAATACAGAAACCCCTACTCCCAAAGGACACTCTGCCTCAGCAGTAAATCTCCCTCATATCCATTCAGCCCTAGCCAAAGCATGAGCGAGAGAGATAGCTGATTCTTGATGCATATCTCAAGCAGATGTTCACTCTGAATGCAAAATGAATTTGGCCTATCCAAATGCCTACTTTTTTTGAAGATAAAAATAAATTCAATAGAAACAAAAAAAAAAAGAGTATAATAGGAAGGTGATTGGAAATCACCCGAGAGAAGAAAGCAACAGACCAACAACAACCAACTTACACTCAACCGGGAAAATAACTAAGCAACAAACACTCAGATAGACAAAGCAAAAGCACAAAATCCTCCCTAACTCAAAAACACATCAGTCTCCCCCTTCAAATGCTTCATCCCACCTGTCTCCTTCCTCGTTCCATGCCTCTCCTCCTTCCCCTACATAACACTTCTTCATCCTTTCTTCTTTGTTGTTCTTCTCAAACACTTCAAACGCATTCCCTGCGAACACCTTTCCACCCCAGAGGAACAGACCTAGGCTCTTGCCAACCCTAACATTCCTATCAGCCAAATTCACAAAATCCACTTTTCCTCCCTCCCCCTTACCACCTATAGGAAATTCAACATCACTCTGTTCCACAATGCATGCTCCTTCCTTATCTTCTTCCTCCAATCCCATATGGAACTCAACAGCCTTCTCTAAAACTTCAGACACCTGTGCCTCAAATGCCTACTTATCATTTGGATTCTATTAATGCAACCATTGTCAAGGAGGGATGACTTCATAACTACATCTTAGCTGCCTACTTAGCTTTATTTCCCACATTGGTGTAACAAACAGCGGTTCCTATCACATATCACATACCAACTTCAATAACCTTGAAAAGAGTGTTATGTGAGGGGTGTGGTGRGAGAGAGAGAGAGAGAGAGAGATTCCTCCCAGCCCTGGACACATTGCAGACAAGAAAGCACAGAGCATTTAAACAACACAAGTCCAGAAAAGAACAACAAAAAATAAGGAACTTCTAGCACTCAAAGTTCTCCATGAACTGTACCACGCATGGCTATCAGCACTTGGAGGCGATGGAGCCCATTACCCATTCCTGCATTCCTGAATACAAGAATTAGAATGATTCAGTTAGACAGGACAAGCAACTAATGAAGTACAAGATGAAAACATAACTACCATTTCCTCCAAATATCAGGGGCTTTGCGAAGAGTGCCATCTCCACTACATGGAACATCACATAAAACACGATCAAATAGGAGTTTATTAATCTTTGGATCCTTATTGTTTCCCAAATCAGATGCATCTATGCAATTTTTGTCTAGATGACAGCCAGGAAAGTGTTGGGCTTCATGATTTGTAACTATCAAGTTGGCACTACACATTCTTTTTGTCTGGTGGATGAGAAGATTACATCTTTGGACATCCACATCATTTGCTATAACCTGGACCAAGGAAAACAAAGAAGGCAATCATGATTACATATCCAAAACAATAGTAATTATCAGGATGAAAAAAAGTATTTATAACAATGTAAACAAAGAAAAAAATCTTGTAGTAAATAAAAAAAGGTTGGTACTCGTCTAAATTTCAAACATAGAAAAACCAATTGGATTAGACATAATTAAAAAAAAATAATAGAAGAAAGAAATAAAACCATTCCATCAGGAAGTGATCCAGGTTTTGTTGATTGGTGTATCATCTCAAGTAATTGGAATGTTTTTGAACCAGGAGCTGCACACACTGCATAAGCAAAGGAAACAGTCAAACAAGTAAAATCAATGTTTCAAGTAATTAATCAGTCAGCACAGCAACAAACCACAAAGATATACCATCATAAAGATCAGTACTCAATTAAACATTAACAGGAGGATAATTTCTCAACTTTCCATTATTGAAGTGAAGGAGGTGCTAAATAAGATGAATAAGGGAAAGTCATTAGGACCTGATGGTATTCCAATAGGAAAGGCATGGAAGAGGTAGGCTTATCATGGCTAACTAAACTATTTAATAAGATAATGAAAGAAAAGAAGATGCCTGATCAATAGAGAAAGAGCAGAATGGTGCCTATATTTATGAACAGAGGGCAGCCTTGAAGTTGTAATAACTATCGTAGGGTTAGACTCATAAGCCACATTATGAAACTTCGAGAGAATAATTGAGCAAAGGTTACAACATGAAAAAAGTATATTAGGAAACCTATTTGGCTTTATATAGTGTTCGTTGATCTAGAAAAAGCATATCATAGGAGCCCCTAGAGGATAAAGGATAATATGTCTTGGAAAAGAGAGGGGTTCCAAATAGATATGTAGACCTATTTAAGAATATATATGAGGGTGAAACAACCAATGTGGGAAAACCTATGGGAGATACATCAGATTTTACTGTTATAACGGATCTTCACCAAGGTTCAACATTTAGCTCTTATTTATTTGCACTAATCATAGATGAATTGACCAAACATATTCAGAAGGAGGTTCCATGGTGATTGTTGCTTGCTGATGACATTGTTTAAATCAATGAAACTAACGAAGGATTAAATGCAAAATTAAGTTTATTGACAAACAGATTAGAGCAATTATAGGAGTCCAAATCAGGGAATACTTAGGATTGGAGACCAAGAGATAACTCAATGTGATTTCCATTACCTCGATTCAATAGTTCATAACAAGGGAAAGATTGAAGAGAATGTTGCCCATAGAGTAGGATGGGGCAAAGTGAAGGGTGCATCTAGAGTCATGTGATAGGAAAATATTACTTGGGTTAAAACGAAAATTCTACAAAACAGTTGTAAGACCAACAATCTTATATGGAAAAGAGTATTCAGCAGTCAAGAAACAAGTCCAGAGATTGAGTGTGGCAGAAATGCATATGCAGAGATGGATGAGTCGAAAAACTAGAAAGGATTGGGTCAAAAAGGAAGTCATTTAAAAGAATCTAGGAGTAGCTCCAATAGGTGATAAAATGAGAGAAAGTAGACTAAGATGATTCGGTCACATGCATAGAAGACCATCTACAGCACCTGTAAAAAGAAACAATCTATTGCAAGCTGAAGGGGCTCGGAGGGCTAGAGGCAGACCTAAAAGGACATGGGTTGAAGTAATAATTTGAGAGCTCATAATTTAACAATGGAAATGGCACTAAACAGAATGGAATGGAAAAACAGGATTAACATAGCTAACCACCCCATACGGAAGGGATAAGGCCTAGATGATGATCATCATCATGTTTGTTCATGCACAAAAGCTATGAACAAACAGCTCTGCCAATACAACATGCTATCAGACCTAGAGTGGTTGTCAACTTACTTAATCAGGGGAGAAAGGCCTTTCCAAGGACCACATCATACAGACCAGCACCATCTAACCACATTAACTGAATCCCCTTCAATGGAAAAGGAAGAAACCTGGGCATTCTTACAAATGCCAGCACCCATAAGCAGGGTCATCACCTCCCCTTCTGAAGAATTTGCATCTTAGTGGGGCCAATAAAGGCCTCCATGTAATGCAAAATACAGCTGTTCCTTTGTCACTGTTATTTACCACAGCAAGGCTTTCACTACCAGTTAGAAGAGTATTTTGAAACCACATATGAACTAAAACTTTGCTAATAATTCAAAGCCTCCTTTGGTATCAAAGATTTTCTGAAATGTACAGCTAATGGTGTACAGGAAAATCATCTTCGTTCCTTAATCATCAATATCTGCTTTTGAACTTCATAAAGAGAAACTCTAATAAAATAAGTTGGTTGAATCAGCAATCGAAACTTACTATCAAGAACGAAATGATCTGGATGCGCATCTAAGAACAACGGAGGTACCTGCATCACCAGAAACAAAAGAAAATAAATGAATATTTTATTCACAAGGCAATAGAACATAAATTGAACCCCTGGATCATAGACTTCAAAGAGATAGAATAATTAAAAAGGCAGAACAAGAATAATAAATTGAATTTTCCCACCATGCTAACGGCCTCTTGTCGTGTAATGTTTCCAATTTCATTTTCTTGCTTTAAGAATTCATGGAACCTGAAATTCACTGCATCAGAAATACTGAAACAAGACAAACACCTGGCCAGCTATTGAGCAACTCAAAAGAGTTGTTTTTCTATATGAAAATATGAAGGATTACTAAATAATAGTAACAGCTCTACATCAAAGTGAAGGATAGTTGGAACTGTAAAGAAAGTACTCTCAATATGTAAATTTTTAAGTGTACATACATCTTTGAGTATGCAGACAGAACCTGTACATGGGCTTGGGGACCCACACCATCATTGTACATCAAAAGCTACGTGAATGATGAACAAGATTCATATTTAGGAAAGCTAAGATCCAGGAGATATTATATAAGCAAATAAAGATGATAATACACCTCCATAATATATACTTCTATAACCATACTGGAAAGTACTCTCCCTAACAACTGGAGCATGACAATCACAAAGTAAAAATGAAATGAGTGGAGGAAAAATGGATTGGTTGATAACAGTCCAACTCTCTGACAGTAAACTAATCAAATTTTAGCTGTCTATTTATGTTCTGTTTATAGTGCAAATCCAAATGGACAAGTAAATTATCATATAAGGTAGCAGTTACCTCTCAAGGGTCTGGTTTTTCCTTAGCTGCATACGGGAAAAATTTAAATGCCAAGCAAGGTTCTCGGGATACCAAGGCAATGGTCTAATTGCCTCCACTTCTCCTTCATCAGTCACCTATGAATAATGTATGGGAGTGAAATGTGAATGTAAAGAGAAAAAAGCATCCAATGGAAGCATTGCAGCAATATGGTGAGCCATCAAATTACAACTATGGGAATAAATGTTTGGGATTAACCAACCTCAGAAGCAAGAGATTTCATAAAGTCATTCTCTAACTGAGACCTGATGTCCTCAAAAAACTGGGTACTGCAAATCCAGAAAACAAACTACTGAAATTTTTAATTAAAGATATATAAAAATAGTAATATGAGGAGATTCAGTAAACTAATTTAAATAAAAACTCTTAAGCTTGAGCAAGGGAACTAGACTACTTGGCAAGTAAAATGGAATTCATAAAATAAATCACTGATCATGGTAACGGTCTTCTTTCTCCTCTCTAAGTGAGACTAGAACAAATTACGCATTGCATATTCTCTGATACAGTGGTGTTGTCTCCATCAAATAGGTAACACAACAAATGAATTGTCCATAATGGATGAAATCGGTTGTGTAAAGCCATGACGAAGAGGCATATTAGGTTCTCATAATGAAACTATGGGAGTAATGCATTTGTTCATGTAACATATGATGCTAACAAATCTTACATTAAAAACTCCAATAAACTACCTTCTATCTCAAACCAGAAAATTCGTTCAAGGAAATAGAGGAGTTTTCCATATGATAAGTCACCTTGTCATTCTTTGTCATCATTTAACTTCACATGAAAAGAAAAATAACCTAAAATTTGGCAGTCCCTGTACCTCAAAGATTATTTTTTTGAAGACAAATAAAGAAAAAAAAAAAAGACTTCATTGCTAAATATAAAAGGCAAATACAACTTAACCAGGTGACAAGGGGTCACCCCTACCAATAAAAACTGCAACAATACAAGGAAAAACAAACATCAAGCTTCAAAGAACAAAAGCAAAGACACCAAAACTCCATTTAAGAATTCAGAGTACATAAAAAATCAGCACCAAAGTCTTCTTTCTTTAGTCCTTGAAATTCTGGAAGCAGCAGCACCCATCCAATAACTGAAGAACTAATCATCGCCACAATCTCTTCCATCCTTTTCTTTTTATTCTCAAAAATCTTTCTATTTCTCTCCCTCCATACCTCCCAACACACAACAAAGGGGATACAGCTACATAGAATTTTGACCTTACGACCACCCTGAATTCTTGGCCAACAACCAAAAATTTCGGCTGAATCTGATATTGACCACATGTCCACCTTAAACATCTTGAAGAAATAGGACCAAAATGGGTTTATAAAACTGCATTGAAACAACAGATGGATAATATTTTCCTCTCYGGCCAGACACAGCAGACATCTACTTGGAAACTGAAATCCTCTGTTTTTCAAAATGTCCTGTGTTAAGATACAGCCTTTTGGCTATCAGCCAGGAAAAGGCTTCCACGGGGCACTGGTTTCCCCCACACACCCCAAATTTAATCAGCCTCCACCTGATTTGTAATCAATATAGAATACATCGACTTGACTGTAAACTTCCCATCCTTGCATTCTTTCCACCACCTGATGACTGCAGATGAGGGATTAATCTTCATTGACTGAAGTTTTGTCAGAAATTCCAACTTCCAAGCACTCCTCCATCTCCCAATGGAATAGAGGCCTTCTAAAATTTGGAGTCCAAACCACAGAAACATTAATTATTTCATAACAATCAGAAATAGGCACTCCCTTCTTACAAAAATTGTATATTCTTGGGCATATCTCACAGAACTTCCCAACTCCCGACCAATCCTCCTCCAAAAACCTTATGCTAGACCCACTCCCGACCTTCTAAGAATAAAAAGGAACCATCAAAGGGTTGAAACTCATTATCCCTCTCTAAGAAACTAGTCACTTTGTAAACATGATATGCTCAGACATGAAAGAAAAAATGTTTAATAAAAATGAAGCAAGTACTTGAAGGATTCCAGGTCATAGTACTTGAAGAAATTGTATTTTAACAATTGTTCGAATCTCTTTTTTTTTATTTTACCTTGAATTTATTCTGAAGGCAGCCGGCAATGGCTTTCGAAGCACCTTCATAAAAATATCCCATTCTTCCTCAGGAACTATCTCTTGCTCCTACAATCCAAAGTAATTCGTCAACGTTTCAAACAAGAAGAAAAGAAAAACATCTCAAAAACATACAGTCAAAAGTCTAGTAAGAAAGAAAGCATTTTCTTCCTATGTTTCTTTTTCACTAGTTGCATCATGCATGGGTCAAAAATAAAAATAAAAGTGAAACAAATCAGAGATCGAAAGGGAGAAGAAAAGAGAGAAATACTTTGTAGTATTCATTGAAGGCGATGTTTTCAGTAGCAAAGGGCTCCCAAGTAGAGTTATCGGAGGGAGGATTATCTGATTTGCTCCGCTTCCAAACATTCTCTCTGTGCTGCTTGAAATGCCTTCTCTGGGTCCTACCTCGCTTGTTCCCACCTCTTCCCCCGCCCATACTTGCTGCTGCCACCGATCAGTGCTTACGGCGCCACACTGCCACTGACTGAGAGATGGAGCGCGAAATGTAGAGAGAGAGAGAGAGAGAGAGAGAGGAGATGGAATTGGGAGGCGGGATGCGTTCCCACTTTTATTCGTGAGCCCGTAATGGGGGTTTATGGCTCTATGCACGTCTACTGGGTTTCGCTGCTCTTCCTCATCGTGATTGGTCTTCCTCTATGGGCGGGCGGGCGGGCGCTACGTTATGGTTTTGAGTCTTTTGCAAAAAAAAAAGGAAAAAAAGGCCGGGCCGGGCTTACTGGCTTAGCAGTTAGCACCTATGATAAGGGCTACAGCCCGGAACGCGACCCTTTATCCTACGATTCACTTTCGACAGCCTAGTGAGTAGTGATTCACTCCAACTCTCCAAACAATGTACCTCATTGACATTGAGCTCTCACAGAGGTCCTTTGCCATTCGGCCCATTCCCACAGAGCGAAACATCGGACATCCCTTCTGGAACTAGAACAAGTGCAAAATAATGGATCTCCTAGTCTCCCTCCTTCAGCAGCTCACCAGTGGACCACTTTCGAGTTTTGACGTAGACAAACGGACTGGTATGGGCCCCGTTCACAGTCCTATCTACCGTGTCAATCAATTGTTGGATATTAGCGGTAGATGGAATCCAGACAGGATAGCGTTCTGCTATATCACCGCGATAATACTGGTTCTTCAATTCTACGAATACAGGAGGGGAGAGAGAGAGAGAAGATTCTAGTCTAGAATGTAAATAACATGGCCTCTGTTTCTGCTCTCAGCCTTCCTTCCGTATCCTCTTTCGCCGTAAATCTGAAATTTCTCATGCTTCGTGCAGAAGCATTGTTTATTCCCAACGCCGTGAAAACGTCATCACAATTTTGTTACTGCACTCAGCCGCCTTTTAAGAGAAAAAGTGGAATATGGTCGAAGGACAAATTTTGTCACTGGCGCCGGGAAGCTTATGAGAGCGAAGAAGGGCGTTCCTTCACTACCCAGAATGAAGAAGCAGTACCGAAGGAGGACGAGATTTCTCGGGCCACATTGATATGGAGAGCAATCAAGTTGCCTATCTACTCTGTGGCTATTGTTCCTCTCACTGTAAGTTTTACTTACAGACTCTAGTGGTAACCTCTTTAAATGCTTTTTGAAGTTTTTGAGTTCAAACAGCTTAAATAAATCATGGAGTAAATGCGGTGTTTCTTTTTTTTTTTTTTCGCTCACAGTAAATGCAGCGTTTCTTGATACTTTACAATTGAAAGATAAAGCCGATTTAATATAATGAAGTCTACAGTTTGAACGATAGCAACAGACTATTATGGATTTTTGTCCAATGAGAACCTGATACGATAATTTTAACATTGGAAGCTATATCTACATTTAGGTTAGTTATTAACATTAGGAAATTAACCTGAATAGCAATCAAAGTTAGTCCTTAACCGCATTCTTCTTGGCTATAGAATTGTGAGATCAATATTTTGCCCATTGAGGTTTGTCCATATCATTTTGAACTGGAGGAGGTTCTGTTGCAAGTCATATACATTTCAAATTTTGTTGTGTTTACTGTCAATGAAGAATCCCACATGGGCACATCCCCAGTGAAATGGCAAAAAAAATACTATTGTTTTAAGACCTAATATACAGGTGCACACTTGTCTTTTAGATCATGTACTTTTTGACTAATTAGGTATGCCCCTTCTATAAGAAAATGGGTACACCCCTTTTATAACAGTCCTGCTAAATCAGATTTCAACAACATGAAGGATTGAAGAAAGTTTGAGTAAATGATAGAGAGAATAAAGAAAGAAGAGTGACTATCTTGCTATATTAGAGAGAGGAGCATTGGGTTGAGCATTTGCTAGAATATGGCAACAACAGGAGAACAACCTTTGGAAGATCCTATTTTTGAGCAGACATACTACTCTTGTAAGTTTTAACCTGTGTGTGTTGTGTTGTGTATGGAAACCAGAATAAACATTGATGAATTGAAGAGAGTATTGAAGATATGGAAATCTTAAAGAGTATTTTTGTGGAAATTGCAAATTGCATGGTGCAGGAGATGGTATTATCAGACTAACTGGTATTACATGGTAATAGATTTTGATTGTGTTCCTGGGAGCTGATGGTTACTATTTTCTTAATGCTTCTGTTTTTATTGGATGTTTCTTAATGATTCTTAGGAATGTCAAAGTGAGTAGGTTGCCATGTTATTTAACAGTTCTTTTTTTGCTTACCAGAAACAAAACTTTATCACTTCCTGAATTCTTTAGTTAATACACACGTCTGTGTGCATATATATATGCATATGCATATTTGTATACATACACATAACATACATATAGATGCTGAAATGGTTATCTGTTGAATTGTTTGGTTTTTAGATGAAACTCATACTTTTAGTATTCTGGATTTGGTTGTTCTATACTTCTCTTGTTTTGTGATAGCTAGCTTCTCTTTCACTGGTAGATTCTAATGACTTCACCTTGTTGCCTCATCTAATATTGACAGGTGGGTAGTGCAGTTGCTTATTTGCAGACGGGTCTTTTCTTTGCCAGGCGTTATCTTATGCTCTTGTTTTCTTCTGTTTTTATCATCACTTGGCTCAATTTGAGGTTAGACGCACTACTTTGTTTTGGATTTATGAATTAATATGGCAAACAGATATCTCGTAATCATGACTATGTTGCCATATATAGCTTAAGTGTGAACACACATGTGCACATACAAAGACATGTATTGTTGACTATCCTGCTTATTTCTTCCAATTGGAAGAATCAAGTGGCTGATCTAGACCATCCATCAGATAGAAGACCCTCTGTATTGACAATGTGCTCACTCTTCACTCTTCTTGTCCATATGAACCCTATATTCCATATCATATAAGATTTCTGCTAATTAGTAATAAGCCAATTTTCTAATTTATGATTTAAAAATATTCCTAGAAAGGGGGATTTATATTCAACATGTGGCAATGTCTGTTTGGTTGAAATTTGTTCCATAAGTAGACGTACAGAGGAACATGGGAACACATGCCAATTAATTGTAACTCATAAAATGCATATTTTCATAGCTTAAAAACTTCCAACTACACCCAGGTGATGGTCCTCAAAATTGGTCTAATATTTTCACTTTTATATAGGCATTGATTGTTATCCTTTCCCTTTTTGGTGTCCAGAGCAATGGATGTCCTTTTATATGGGTTCACATACACCTTTTCTCCGTAGTGTGTTTGGTGAGAACTCTAGAAGTACCTTACTGGGGGTACAACTTGGGTTGCCCAACTTGCAGAATTTCACCTACATAGGTGTCGGGTCCATTCAAATTTTAACAAATGCTCAACCCAATGTAACCCAAGTTACATCTCTATATTGATAAGAGAACGAAATGGTCTACCAAATATGAAATGATACCCATATGCAAACTACATAGAAGGGGGTGGGGATGAGAATTCAATCTTGAAATGTTGAACATTGGATCATACTCCTATTTTCTGGTTTGTAGAGGTTTTGGATGATTATTCTGATTTTTGGACTGTCCAACTAAAGGTCACAGGCAATGTGGAGAATTTCAACTCAGCCCTGGTAACATCTCAGGGCTGTGATTGTTGAGGGACCCCATGGATATGTGGCATATGTGGTTGATGTAACTCATGGAAATTTATCAAGTTCCTAATGGACATTTACAATTTATGCAGCAACGACGTTTATGATTTTGATACAGGGGCAGATAAGAACAAGAAAGAATCTGTAGTGAATATGGTTGACAGGTACATTTTCATCCTCATGGTTTTATAAATGCATGTTTGGCTGGTTTTGTACMTGAGTCAAATCACCAACTCTGCCTGTATTATGGATTTGGGAAGTCGTACAGGGACCCTTGTTTCTGCCTATATGTTACTTGTTATTGGCTTTATGGGGCTTACCTGGGCATCTGTTGAAGCAGGAAATATACGCTCCATACTATTGTTGATTTGTGCCATTACTTGTGGTTATATTTATCAGGTATGAACGTGCTAGTYTGTTTCTCTTGAGTAATTCAAATAAATTTTGAAAGTCAAAAATAAAGCTCCATGATGATGCAGTAATCATCTAAGGTCTTGACAAATAAAAGTTGTGAGGTGTTATGAGTTTGACCACACCTTCCTTGCTAGGAAAAGAACTCAGTTCTGGCTGCCCAATTGTATTTTAGTTAGCAATAATATGAACCTCCATATTGTTTGCCTTCTCAAGCATTGCATCCAGAGGATACAAAATGACTGACAACATTTTAGTTATCCTGGAATTGCCAGGACCTAGCTTATACAAGTTCAATCTGCTTATTGACAGGGTATGATTCTTATATGGTCTATTTGATATTTATCCATTGCAGTGCCCACCCTTTCGCTTGAGTTATCAAGGATTAGGAGAGCCCTTGTGCTTTGCAGCATTTGGTCCATTTGCTACCACTGCTTTCTACTTATTGCAGAGCAGCAGAAGGTTGTCAAGAAATTAACTATTCCTGCCGTTCTTTTGGATTTCTATATGCCTACCTCCTGACACATAAAGGTTTTGGATCCATTATGCAGTAATTTGTATCATCTTCCCCTAACTGGCACAATTTTATCCGCATCACTTCTTGTTGGCTTCACAACATCCTTAATTCTTTTCTGTAGTCATTTTCACCAGGTACCTTTGACTTGAACTCTGTCCATTTATCTACTTGTTCTTATAAAATTGGCTTATATAGATTGGGTGCACCTTAGGTGGATGGTGATCGATCTGTTGGAAAGATATCTCCTCTGGTAAATAAGCTTACTATGGAAAATATTATGTTAAAAATATAAGTTAATTGTAAGGATTGTAAAGATTTTCTGTTTTGAGAGAAGCTCTCACTCTTTTAATACAATTACACTCTTATCTAAAAAGAAAAAGTTAATTGACTTTTAAGTTGTTAACATTGTCAGGTCAGGATTGGCACAAAAAAAGGCTCACTCGTGGTGAAAGTTGCAATTGTGACATTGTACCTCCTTTTGTTTACTCTTGGTCTAAGCAAAGCTCTTCCTCTAACATGCATTGTAAGTTACTGCTAACTCTGGACAGATGAAATTATCTAGTTCAGGTTTCTCTTCCCATCTCCTTGATTCAACTATCAAATTTTGCACTTGTTTAATGTTAACTAAATCATGACCTATTTTCCAGCTTCTTTGTGCACTGACTTTGCCAATTGGAAAGCTGGTAGTCAGCTATGTTGAAGAGAATCACACTGTGGGTAACAAACACACAGAGCTTTCCTTGTCCTTGTGATTTTTTCAAATCTGTTCACTTACTGTTATGAGATTTTAACTTTTACAGGACAGTAACAAGATCTTCATGGCTAAATATTATTGTGTGCGTTTACATGCCTTATTTGGAGCTGCATTGGCAGCTGGGCTTGTGGCCACTAGAACTGTGGCAAAAGCATATGTTCCAAAGCCATTTTTCTCTTGATATGTTCCTGCATCCAAGAGCTAGGAGTAGATCTAGACCTGAGATATGCAAGTCATTGTTGTGAAGTATTTCAGTTTAACAACCAAAAGGGAAGTAGAAAAGAGACACCGTGGCTGCCCCTGTTTATGATAAAGGAATTGCTTTTTGATAGAAAAACAATGAGTGAGCACCTGCATTAAATGTAATTTTTCTTGTTGTTCAATTGTATTTGTATATTATAACAGTTCTACCACATGCAAACCATTAGAATATGTTGGAGGGAGATTGAAATTTTCAAGAATCTCTCCTCCCTCCCTTGTGTTCTTTGGGTTTTGTCTTTTCCTCTTACCTCCTTTGAATGCTTGAGAAGACTCCTTGCCCCACATTGTTTGGAAAATGAGTTGAGTTTGATTATATCTATAGACTTGCTCTTTTTATGGGTAGGAACTCATAGGAGGAAAGCACTATAGATGTTTACATGCATGTGAGAAGGGGTTGGGGGTTCTTTTCACATGTGCATGCTGAGCCGGGCTAGGTCAGGACAAGACGGGATGTGGGTGCGGGTATTGTGTATGTGTACATGTATATGAACGCTCCACCGAATCGTTTTAGTTTTGATTGGTTTAAATAGTTTGACTTCTGAAGAGACATCTAAAAGGACACTTTTGTGTCCATTCGGATGACTGAGAATACTCTATAAAAGGAGTATTGATCAACCCAGAAATACACACCAGTGCATTCAACACAGTCTTGACTTTTGAATTTCAAAATTTATTTTTTAAAACGTTTCTTCTTCCTTTTCGTGTCTCTTCTTCTTTGTGTCTCTTCGAAMAGGTGCACTGTTCTAAAAAGACATCTCTCTGAAATGACATTTTTATGTCCATTTGGGTGACTGAGAACACTATAAAAGGAGTATTGGTCGAYTCAGAAACACATACCAATGCACTCAACACAGTATTTTTCTCTGAGCATCATTCTTTGTGGTTTGCAGAGATCTAGTAAGCGAGTGCATGCCTACCAATGGCCTATGGGTTGTTTTATCTTAGTAACCGATTTGCAATCATTCAGTTGCACCGTATGGGCCAATGCGGTTTTAAAGAAAGTGATCAAGTGGCACGACTCATCCCTCCTCTCTACAATTTCTCAAATTCATAATTTTGCAATATTACAGTTTTACAAATTCTCAGTTTAGAAAGGRATTACCGATAAGTTCCATTATGCCTTTTTTATCATTTTCCAATAGAATATAAGAAGGCATCGCTCATCAAAAGCCTATGAGGCTCGATTTCAATTTTGAGTTCAAAGTTGGTTTACATATTACTGCAATGTGATTTGGCCAAGTGTGGTGGGAACAACAGTAGCCACAATAGGTTAAGATGTCAAGTAGCGATTTGTAAACCAACTTGACGAATCACATTGGACAAATACTTGACCCCTAGACAAAACCCTTTTGATTGGTTTATAAATCGCCAATCATCACCCCTAGTTGATTGGAATATATCCTTAAAGGGGGCAAAACTATTTAAAGTATGCAGTTAATGAATTCATGGTTCACCTGGTATAAAGAGTTTCGTGCCCCAATGATTCAAAACTTCAAGAGAACAACAGGTTGCAGATGACAAATTGGCGATACACTAATTACACTTTACAAATACATCTGCCGTCCAAGTGAAATGTCATTTCAATTCCCAACCAACAACTTTATACGATTTAGTTAACTGTTAGATCAGAGAAACAAGGGGCACAGAACAATAGTGAAATGTCATAACAATAGAAGTTTGTTATGTGCCTTGGGAGAACTCATCCCTAAAAGCTAACTGTTAGAGGGAGGGAATCCAAACACATATGRGATACCTCACATTAACATCTCATACTACCAACATGAGACAAATGGATCGTAACAAAATTCATACAACTCTTGGTCACATTTCAAATTGACTAGCTGTGCCGAGGATAACAAAGGGGCATAGAACCTCACAAATCACAGACTGATTAGCTGCCAGACAGGCCAAGAGATAGGTAACGTAATTGCCTTGGGGGCCATTTGATAATGAAGCGGCTGAACTGTTTTATTGCTTGTCTTTAGATTTGGTTTGTTTAAAGTGCAATTTGCACTCCTATACATTTATGCTAGTGTAAATGAATTTATACTGAACCTCAATAACCAACCTCACTTCAACTTCAGCCATTGAAGAACTTAGAACCTCCTCAATAACTTATTCAAAGAAGAAGCAATAACCAACAAGTCAATCAATTTGGGCACTTCACTTTTCACTCAGATCAATGCAAGGCAGAACACATGTAGGACTTGTATGAAAAAAATAAAAAACGATCAGCTTCACCACTGAAGCTCAGTCAGATCTTTAAAATGGTAATAGTCACTCAAATAAATCCAAGTTAGAAGATAAATTCACGCGGGCTTTATGAGAAAAAAAATGATGAGCTTCATCACTACAGGACTATGGGTCTTTTTGTTTTCAGCGCAAATAGCACTGGCATCAATGCATAGGAGTGCAAATTCTAATTTGCTTGAGGTTTAAGTTAACTTTGTTTTTGCACCAATGCAAATGAAATTGCACTTATGAGACTAAAGTTCAACGCTTCAGTCAGAGAAGTTCCAGTAGGCCCCAAGGATAACGAAGATGAGCGAGCGAGAGAGAGGGAGAGAGAGAGGCGAATAGTTCCACTCCCTTTTATTATAGGAAACAAGAGAAATGAAACGAAGGGTGTTGCATAGAAACTGATAATTCAACAGGGTTCGCATGCAAAAACTTACAAATTTAAATGAATACAAGTTGAAACAACAATTCCAACGTAACCCAGAATTACAAACTGAGAAGCAGGCCAAACCTTTAAACAAAAAGAGGAAGAACGAACGTTACAATAGCACTGTGAGTGGCTTACCAATTCCAGCTTCTTCTCTAACAGAATTAAGATGATAATTTATTTGGACGAGGATTTTAGACGAGGAAACAAGATCCACAACGACATTGAATAAACCATAGATGATATAACATGATTGTAGTTCACTGAAAAAGTAGATGCTTCACCATTATAAACTAGAAAAAAATAAGCATAAAAAAGATGTATTATATATTCATCCTTTATTACTTTTCTTGAAGGGGTGAGAGATCCATCATATGGATAGCCGAAGCCTGCAAGAAGGTAGGGCGAAATTTAAAAAATTTCTCTCTCTCCCATGTGGGAATCGCATTTCCTGTTTTAGAAAAACTGCATTTTTCAATGACCAATCTTGAACCAAGAACCGAACCAAATCTGAACCAAAATAGCAGGAGAGGGATATACTTGATACGGAGATGCAGTATCTCCCAATGAAGGTGTTCACGCCCAAAGAAAAACTCCAAAGACTGCTCCCACTAAAGATGACACAGTGAATGGTGGAGTAGAATCAGCAAGGTCCATCCAACGAACTGAATTTTTCAACAAGAATTCAATGGAGGCAGTAAGCACGACTTCTGATCAGACTTTCTCCAAAAACTGATATCAAGACTCTTCTTGACCGCTCTTACGATCGAGATCGAACTGGCTGTGGCAGCAACTGGAGGAAATCGCAGGGAGAAGATGGCACAGTCACACTGTTGATGTCTTCTCTCTGGGTGCTCTGAGATCTGATCTCTGAGATTTCTGGGATGGTGGGATGAACTGAATGGTTCGCCCCCTTCCTCCTTTTATACGCTTAAAGATAGCTCCTAATCTCATTAGGAGTTTCCTAATCCAAATCTGTATTTGGATAAGGAGTTCTCTTCAAAAGATAAGGATAAGCCCTTATCTTATCTGCAGATTAGATCAGCTCTCTCTTTAATCTCATTAGGAGGTTTCCAGATCTGAATTTAGATCTGGACTCTCTGAGTGGATAAGGTAAAACCCTATCCTATTTGCTGATTTAATCCCAAATCCGCCCCCTTATTCAACTAATCAAATTAGGCCAGTTCGAAATGGGCTTTAGGCCCAATAAGTCCAAGTGCTCAAACTGCTTCCAAACTGCTGCCCAATTGGGCTTCTTTGTAT